ACCGCGCGCGAGGTGGTCAGACCCGTTCCGCTGCAGACATCCTTGCAAATCTGGGCTCCAAGACGCCGCGCGAGAGGTGGTCCGGCCTGTTTCGCCTGAGACAACCTCGCAGCTCCGGGCACCAAGACGCCTCGCGCGAGGTGGTCGCTCGTGTTTCGATTGAGACATCCTCGCAACTGGGCTCCGAGATGCTGCGCTCGGGGTGGGTGGTCCGGCGCGTTTCGCCTGAAACATCCTCGAAACTCTGGGCGCCGAGAGGGAGGAGGGAGGAGAGAGGAGGGGTCAGACCCAAACGAACTATTTGATTACTCTTCTGTTGTCGAGTTGTGCTCTGGGAGGTGTCTGGGCGCTGCATGAGACATCCTCGCAACTCTGAGCTCCCAGGTGTCGCGCGCGAAGTGGTCCAGCCCGTTTCGCCTGAGACTTCTCTCAATTCTGGGCTGCGAGAGGCCGCTCGAGAGTTGGTCCGGTCTATTTCGAATGAGACATCCTCGCAAGTCCGGGCTCCGAGAAAATGAGTTCGAGGTGGTTTTCGGAAGACGGAAGGTACACACGACCACCGGGATCTTTCATATCGATATGGCCATTGTCGTCGCATGTGTTATCGTCAGCCAACGTGTTGAATTTGTTTCTTGTGTATCTGGTTCCCAGTGTGTACGGGCACCTGGTGTTTTTTTGACGCGCTTGAGATATACACCAGGACGTGGCTCGACGTTACAATTCGTTCTCTTCGCTGCTGTGTACGTGGAGCCGGTGCCTTGCTAGGTTATCAGTGCACACCAGCTTCTTCTGTGATTTTCTCCTTCTGTTTGTGCGCGCTGGGGGCGCCGTCGCAGGGCAGGCAGGCTCACCTTGATCGCATCTCAGGTCGCCAAGGCTTTCCAGAGGCTGCATGCGCCGTCGGCATCTGCTGCTGGATGGTCAGAGGCGAGGTTGAGAATGCCGATGTTTGTTGTTTCCGTTTTTTTGGCGGTGGTGTGTTATTCTCGTTTGCCTAGGTTTGGCCTATTTCGCTTCAGACATTCTCTCAAATCGGGGTTCCGAGATGCTGCGCGCGAGGTGGTCCAGCCCGTTTCTTTTGAGACGTGCTCCAAACTCAGGGCGCCGAGAGGGAGGAGGGAGGAGGGATGGGGGGATCAGACCCAAACGAACCATTTGATCTCTCTTCTGTTGTCGAATTGTGCTTTGAGAGGGATTTGGGCGCCTCTGGCCCGACGGAGGAGGTAGCTAGCGCTGACGCTCGAGAGCGATTCCTGTGTAAATTCCAAGGGGGAGTCCTCAGGGAGGAGCCATGGTTGTGAGCAGATCGTGGAGATGACTTGAGCGAGAGCGCGGTGAGCAGGGAGAAGGAGGAGGATGAGGAGGAGGATTAGGAGGAGGAGGATGAGGAGGAGGAGGAGGAGGATGAGGAGGAGGAAGAGGGGCACTGCGAATAGAAGGAGGACGCGGAACACGAGGAGGAGTACGAGGAGTACAAGGAGGAGCATGGCGAGCAGATGCAAAACCGGCCCCCGGGGATGGGGTCGAGCCTTCCTTCTTCCCTCTCGCCCCCTCCGCATCCCTCTCGTTCGACCATTTCCCTCTTCCACCTTTCTCCCTCCTCCTCCTCCTCCTCCTCCTCCTCCTCCTCCTCCTCCTCCTCCTCCTCCTCCTCCCCCTTCTCCCGCCCTTCCTCATCCCACCCTTGTCCTCCTCCTCCTGCTCCTCCTCCTCCTCCTCCTCATGCTGGGGCATTGGCCCTGCATGCGTTGAACCTCCTGCCATGGCTTCGGCCCCTCTTGCCCTGACCCCTCATGCTGGGGCCTTGGCTGGCCCCTCATGCGTTGACCCCCTCATGCTGGGGCATTGGCCCTTCATGCGTTGACCCCGTATGCCGGGGCTTCGGCCCCTCTTGCCCTGACCCCTCACGCGAGGGCCTTGGCTGGCCCTTCATGCGTTGACCCCCTCATGCTGGTGCATCGGCCCTTCATGCGTCGACTCTTCGTGCCGGGGCTTCGCCCCCTCATGCCCTGACCCCTCATGCTGTGGCCTTGGCTGGCCCTTCATGCGTTGACCCCCTCATGCTGGGGCATTGGCCCTTCATGCGTTGACCCCTCATGTTGGGTCTTCGGCCCCGCGTGCCCTGACCCCTCACGCGAGGGCCTTGGCTGGCCCTTCATGCGTTGACCCCCTCATGCTGGGGCATTGGCCCTTCATGCGTTGACCCCTCATGTTGGGTCTTCGGCCCCGCGTGCCCTGACCCCTCATGCCGGGGCTTTGGCTGGCCCCTCATGCGTTGACCCCCTCATGCTGGGGCATTGGTCATGCTGGGGCATTGGCCATTCATGCGTGGACCCCTCATGCTGGGGCTTCGACCCTTCACGCCCTGACCCCTCATGCCGGGGCCTTGGCTGGCCCCTCATGCGTTGACCCCTTATGCTGGGTCATTCGCCCTTCACGCGTTGACCCCTCATTCCGGGGCTTCGGCCCTTCACGCCCTGACCCCTCATGCCGGGGCCTTGGCTGGCCCCTCATGCGTTTGACCCCCTCATGCTGTGGCATTGGCCCTTCATGCGTTGACCCCTCATGTTGGGGCTTCGGCCCCGCGTGCCCTGACTCCTCATGCCAGGGCCTTAGCTTGCACCTCATGTGTTGACACCTCATGCTGGAGCATCGGCCCTTCATGCTGGGGCTTCGGCCCCTCATGCCCTGACCCCTCATGCTGTGGCCTTGGCTGGCCCCTCATGCGCTGACCCCCTCATGCTGGGGCATCGGACCTTCATGCGTTGACCCTTCATGCCGGGGCTTCGGCCCCTCTTGCCCTGACCCCTCATGCTGGGGCCTCGTCTGGCCCTTCATGCGCTGACCCCCTCATGCTGGGGCATCGGCCCTTCATGCGTTGACCCTTCGTGCCGGGGCTTCGCCCCCTCATGCCCTGACCGCTCATGCTGGGGCCTTGGCTGGCCCTTCATGCGTTGACCCCCTCGTGCTGGAGCATTGGCCCTTCATGCGTTGACCCCTCATGTTGGGGCTTCGGCCCCTCGTGCCCTGACCCCTCATACTGGGGCCCTGGCTGCCCCATCATGCGTTGACCCCCTCATGCTAGGGCATTGGTCCTTCATGCATTGACCCCTTATGCCGGGGCTTTGGCTGGCCTCTCATGCGTTGACCTGCGTAATGCTGGGGCATTGGCCCTTCATGCGTTGACCCTTCATGCCGGGTCTTCGGCCCTTCACGCCCTGACCGCTCATGCGGGGGCCTTGGCTGGCCCCTCATGCGTTGACCCCCTCATGCTGGAGCATTCGCCCTTCACGCGTTGACCCCTCATTCATGCCGCGGCTGCGGGCCCTCATGCCCTGACCCCTCATGCTGGGGCCTCGTCTGGGCCCTCATGCGTTGACCCCCTCCTGGGACATTGGCCCTTCATGCGTTGACCCTTCATGCCGGGGCTTCGGCCTCTCGTGCCCTGACCCCTCATGCTGGGTCCTTGGCTGGCGCCTCATTCGCTGACCCCCTCATGCTGGGGCATTGGCCCTTCATGCCCTGACCCCTCATGCCGGGGCTTCGGCCTCTCGTGCCCTGACCCCTCATGCTGGGGCCTTGGCTGGCCCCTCATGCGTTGACCCCTTATGCTGGGTCATTTGCCCTTCATGCGTTGACCCCTCATGTTGGGGCTTCGGCCCTTCACGCCCTGACCCCTCATGCTGGGTCCTTGGCTGGCCCCTCATGCGTTTGACCCCCCTCATGCTGGGGCATTGGCCCTTCATGCGTTGACCCCTCATGCTGGAGCTTCGGCCACTCACGTCCTGATCCCTCATGCTGGGGCCCCACCGATGCATTGGCATGCGTTGGCATGCGTTGGCATGCATCGGCATGCATTGACATGCATTGGCATGTGTTCGCATGCATTGGCATGCGCTGGCACGCATTAGCATGCGCTGGCATGCACTGGCATGAATTGGCATGCATTGTCATGCGTTGGCATGCATTGGCATGCGTTGGCATGTATTGGCATGCGTTGGCATGCATTGGCATGCATTGGCATGCGCTGGCATGCACGGGCATGCGTTGGCATGCATTGGCAGGCGTTGGCATGCATTGGCCCCCGCGTCTTAGTGGACCTCTGCCCCAGCAAGTTCACTTCCCTTCGGGATGCCGCCCCCTAGGAGCCCAGATCCAGGGATCGCTAAGAAGGGCTGAGGGGTGAGAGGGTAAGGAGGACCAGCAATCGGACCAGTTGGAAATCTGCCTGCAGGAGAGTGTGTGTTTCGGCCCCTGCGTCGTTGCTGGCGTTACTAGGTCCGCTGGATCCGTACCCTCCCCAGTTTTGGGTCATGAATTGGATTCCCCTCTTTCGCACAGCCGTACCCCAGGGGATCGGCGAACGGGAAATCCAATCTTGAACCCGACTGTCAGCCCGTGCTAATCCTCCTCCTCATCCCTTACGTCACCCTTGCTCCTTTCTCTCCACTCCTTCCCCTCTCCCCTGACCAACTGTTCATTTTTCTCTCTGTCCCCCTCCTCCTCGGTCACTGTTCTCCTTCCTCTCACCCTCTCTTCATGTATCCCTTCTTCTTCCTCTTTTTCCTCCTCTTCCTCTTCCTCACCTGATACCGTGGAGGGAGAGAGGGGGCATGATGCAAAGGCTTGGGGGCCTGGAGGGCTTCCTCGTCGTTGTCTTCGTCGTCGTCGTCCGTCGTTGTCGTCGTCGTCGTTGTCGTCGTCGGTGTCGGTCGTCGGTCGTCGGTCGTCGGTCGTCGATGTCGGTCTTCGGTCGTCGTTGTCGTCGTCGTCGTCGTCCTCGTCGTCATCGTCGTCGTCGTCGTCGTCGTCGTCGTCGTCGTCGTCGTCGTCGGTCGTCCGGCGTCGTCGTCGCCGCGCCGCCGGTGGCGGGCTCCTCTGCCGTCGGCTCCCCGGCAGCGCCGCGCCACACAGAGGGGCGGCGGTGCGCGTCCCCCCCGGGTGGCAGCCCCCCGTGCGGCGCTGCTCCGAGCGCCCGGGGCCGTCCTCCTCGACATGCTATGCAGTCGAGACGCTGCCAGAAGGTGCCCGAAAGCTAAGGAGCGAGGGTCTTTTTTTCTCACACAAGTTAAGCTTCGATTTCCCACAGAATTCCCACGGAAAACCTGAGACAGGCTGTAAAACAATTACGGGATACTGAGCCCCTCCCAAACGAAAAGGGTTCTTTCTTCAGCGGTCCGACGGTACAGTCAAGACGCTGAAATAAGAGGACAATTTTTGAGGGAAACGTAGAACTCGAGTTTGCCAGAACACGAGCTTGCCGCCGTTCTTTTACGGGCACGCCCTGAACTTTGACGGTCCAGTTTTCGTTAGATGTTTGCAGCGGGAGCTCGTGTCAGATTTCAGACGGTGTCTCGCCATTTCCCCGACGGCCCCGTCAGGCCGTCCCGAGTCCCCCCGAACCCGCGTCTTGGGCTTGTGGGGGGTTTTGGTTTGAGGTCTGGTTTGAGGAGGGGGTTTTAGGAGGTGGTTTCAGTTCGAGGAGGGGCTGCTGGTCTGACGTCTTACCGACTTCTTGGTTTGAGGAGGGGCGTTTTCGGGTGTGCGAGCCTCTGCCCCTGCCGCGCGTCGAGCAGCCCCATGCGTGGCCCGGGGCGCGCCGAGGCCTCCGAGGAGCCCCGTTTCCGTTTCTTCTGCAGGGCTCCTGGCGGCAGCACGACGACTGCGTGCTACCCAGACCTCCAACGCACGGTCGGACCGAGGCGTCAGATCGAGGTCGGTTCGGGGAGGGCACCCTCGTGCTCTTCGTGCTTGTGGGATGCTCTCGTGCATCCTGGGGAGGGTACCCTTGGATGTTCTGTGTGTCTTGGCCGGCGGAGGGCCTCGCGTTCTTGAGGGATGTTCTTGTGGCCTGGGCCCGACTGTACCCAGACCTCCGACGCATTCCATAGAAACCTCCATCGCACCCAGACCGCGCGCGCGCGCCCTTCGCGCTCCTGGCTCCCTCTCCGCGCCCCTGCCCTGCAATATGGCACTGGCGCGCGCGCGCGCATCGTCGTCGCCTCCCCACCCTCGCGCGGCACCGCGATGCGGCATCATGTATAGCCGAGGCTTCGTGGCCGGTCGGCCACGCCTCGAGGGCCGGGAGGGTCGGACGGACGGGGCCGGGACGAGGATCATTCCGTTCCAGAGCGTCCCGGAACGCTCTCAGAGCGCTCCGGGACGCTCTGAGTAGGCCGCGGCGCCCAAGACGTCCTCCAGAGCCGACGGTTTTCAGAGATTGTCGATTCATCCGTACCCGAATTGATCCTCGTCCTGGCTTCGTTTTAGAGGGGGCCAGCAGGAACAGCCAAGAGGAGCCGAGGAGGAAGAGGAGGAGACAGACATCCGTGGGCTATCTCGGCCTCTTTGGAGGGCCCTCGTGGTGGCCACGGCTTGGGGCAGCTCGGAAAACTGGTCTGCATGGGTTCTGGGAGGTTCCTGGGGGAGTGGTACTGAAATCAGTAACTGCGCTCCAGATAGGGCCTTGCCTTCGAGGATCGAAGGCATTGTCATCTCTTCCTCGGCGGAAGGCGGCGGAAGGGCAGCGGAAGGTCGGCGGAAGTATAACAGGACCGCCTTCGCCGACGGAAGCCGGCGGAAGCTCGGCGGAAGGCGACGGAAGTTCAAGATGCGCCTCCAAGAAATGAAAACGTTTTTGGGTTCAGGGATTCCGGAATCGGATAAATCGACGATTTAACACAATCCGGCAGAGGTTTCCTGGCCTTCTGGATTTCGCAGCCTGGTCTTGCCTGAGGAAAATCAGCTGCGACGAAACATAGCCCCAGGGATGTGGTCGCGAGTTCGGAGGGTCCATGCGGAAACAGCACGACGTCGGAGGTCTGGGGAACATACCCTCCAGAGGGCCCCCCAAACTAACCGAATGGGCTCACCCTGCCCACATATATACATACATACATATACATATGTTTGGTGCTTATCTGTTCTGTCTGCTTGTTGATTGCTCCGACCCTCCTCTGACCCTTTGGGGCGGCCGACCGGCCGCGCCCGCTGAGGGGCCAAGGGCCGAGGGATTCAACGGAATCCCATGTGGCCTGCTCCGTCCCTCTCTCCCCCGCCGCCCGCATCGCTGTGTGACGGCACTCCTCCCGCACCCCCCCAGGCCTACGGCGTCTCGAATAAATAGTCGGCCCGGAGGGGGTTTCGCGGTGGTCGGCGCCTCGGGGGCCGTTTCCAGGCTCTGGGACTGCCAACAGACGGTTCGAGGTGAAGGCCGATGCCCAGGGAATCACTACCCACCAAACCACCCCAATTTGGTTCGAAGGCCCCATGTTACCCTCCATTCCCAGTGAGGGGGGCATCCCGGAACATTGAAAAACCACAGACGGCACCCGTACGCCGAAATTTGGGTTTTCAGGTTGGGTTGGGGTGCTCTGGTAGGCAGTCAGGAAAGGGCCGAGAGGTAGGGGGTTGCGACAAGATCGAGTCGTCGAAGGTCTGGGTCTCCGCATCAGCGGCACGAGGTGCGCCGTACTCTCGACGAGCCCACTTGCTCGGCAAGAGAAGAGGACTTGCACCGGCGCTTCTGCCCATGATCCTTCGCTCGCGATTCTTAGCCCTGGCCACGCATCTCCTCTGATGACATAAGCCGCTGGCGTTCAAACAGCGCTGAATCGGACCCTTCTGTGCACGGGGCACAGTCAGCCCGTCTTGCCGAGATCCTCCTGGCCCCGAATGGTGTCAATCAGTCGACGCGGGGAGAGGGGAACGGAGAGACTCCAGAGAGGTCAGCGTCAGAAAGTGAAGCAAGGGCCGAGGGAGGGAGGCGAGGCCGGCGACCGGCCCAGTGCAACTCTCCTCGCAGGCGCGTGGGTTTCCACTCCTCCGTTGCTCGCATTTTAAAGATTCTCCCGAACTCTGAGAGCTGGGGCTGGGTCAGAGGGCACAGGAGGAGGAGGGCAGAGACCAGGCAGGGCGGACAGGGCAAGCAGTGCCGTGCAGTCGGGCCGAGGTATAAGATTGAGGTCGGTTCGGGGATGGTAAGTACCATCATGCTCTTCGTGCTTGTGGGATGCTCTTGTGCATCATGGGGAGGCTACCCTTGGATGTTCTGTGTGTCTTGACTGCCGGAGGGTCTCATGTTCTTGAAGCATGTTCTTCTATCCTTGGTCCGGCTGTATGTTGCATCGCTGTGCGCAGAGTTCGGGATGCACCTGTCTCGTGGAGCAACGGGGCCCTGCTCTTGTTCATAGTCTGGTGGCCAGGCTTGATGATGTGAGTTGAAGTGTGAATGGAGGTGCCTTGGACTCGAAAGCCCGGCGCGCACAGATTTTGGCAGACCTGTGGCTTGTACGATACATTTCAGATCTTCTCTCCCAGGTCCTTCTGTGCATGCCTTCGGCTGCGAACGGTCCGACGAGGCTGGAGGCTGGGCTCGCCTCAGAGGGCGCAAAAGGGCGTTCTGGGCGTAGCACTTCGATGCGAGCCTGGGCTATTCTGCGCGAGAGACCGGGTCAAGACGGCAAGCCTGCCATGGCATTGCGGAGGGATGGGGCCAGGGAGTGCGGCGCGAAGGCTGCTCGCACGGCCCAGCAGGCCAGGCCGGCCGCCAGCAGAGACATATGGCGTGGGGAGTCGCTGCGCTCGTGCCGAGTCCCTGGAAACCGTGCGCCGTTGTTGACTGGCGGTCGGCACGAGCGGGGACCAGTGGACGGGCAGTCTGCCCGTTGTGCGCGGCCCTGTTGCTCTGTTGCGCTGGCTCTTTACAGTCTTTCCGCCGCATCCGCCGTGGCGGAGCGGGGAACGGCGGCGCGACCTGGAGTGGCAGAGCGCAGCTCCGCCTCGCCTCTGCCCTGCGTCACAGTCGTGGGCGAAAGCCCGCAGGGTGCCGTCTTTTGCTCCCGCTCCGCCCCTCCGGCTCCCTCATTTCCCCGGGGCGTCTGAGAGGTGGGTGATGACTATTTACGGTGCGTGCCGCACCGCTGGTTCTGGTCCACAACGCTTCGGCGCGACACGCTATCAACGGCACGGTCCCCGAGCGTCAACGTCCCGAGTCTTTCCCAGCTTCCCGCCCCGCGTAGCGGAGCGACACGCTATCCATTTGCAAGGCATAGCGTGTCGCCGGGGCCGCCGCGGCGACACGCTAAGGACAAGTTCCTGAACGTAGGGGTGTGTGTGTGTGTGTGTGGATATCATGGCCAGGGCCATGAATTCTCCGCGCAATTCATGTTCTCTCTCTCTCTCTCTCGCACAGGAAGTCCCCCAGCCCCCCCTCGTCTGCGTACACGCCTCGGGCCATGCCCTGCGAGCCCCCCTGTTGGACGCTCCCCTCTTGGACGCTCCCGATCATTCCACCCCTTCACCTGCCCCTTCTGCCTTCTCACTAATGTGGTTAGCGCTCTCCTGCAGCGGCCCGTGTCTTTGGAGGCCTGCCAGAGCACGCAGACACGGAACCGCGATGAAAGTGGGGTGGGAGAGTCTCGCATCAGTTACCCCGGCTGAGCCCGAAGTAGGATTTTCAACATGCCAAGACACATGCACGGAACGTACAGTATATATATGTATACATACATATATATACACATATATATATATACACATATATATATATACAAGACTGCAGTGGCGCTTCGCTCCATGCACCTTGGTCCTTGAAGTTTGGTATGCAGGCGGAAATGGCAGGAAGGTCAAGCCGACAGTTTAGCGATAACTCCTTGCTGCCTTTTCTGGGATCGCCGTTATAATAATGTTGTTCGTTATCCTTCCTCCATGCTTATTTTTCCTCATTCTCGCCATACCCTGGGCATCCTCCCCATCCTCCGCAGCTCTTTTTGCGGAGGCTCCTCCTTGAATAGCCTCTGGGGGCCTCACCAAAGTTCTCAGGCTTTCTGAAAGCCTTATGGAGGCCTCCCGGGTGTGTTCTGGGGGCCTCTGGGGCTTCCTAAGGCCAACCTGCCTCTAACCGCGGTCTCCCTGAACGCCCCAGTCACGATTTGGAATGCTTCGGAGCGTGTCTTGGGGCCATCTTGGGCCGCCATGGTGCTCTCTTAGGGCCATTTTG